TCATTAAGTCAACTGAGCAGCAGCAATTTTCTTCGTATCAACATTCGCAGCAGCGTCAGTATAGTCGCCCATCTTGTCGAAGCTTAAGTATTGGTAGATGTCAGCAGACATGCTATCAATTTGAGCTGCATACTGTTGGTATTCTTCTGGAGTTGGTAATTTACCAAGTACAGCAGCAACAGATGCAAGTTCAGCAGATGCTAAGTAAACGTTCGCACCTTGACCTAAACGGTTCGGAAAGTTACGAGTAGAAGTCGATACACAAGTAGTGTTCGGAGCTACACGTGCTTGGTTACCCATACATAATGAACAACCTGGCATTTCAGTACGCGCGCCAGCTTTACCATAAGTATTGTAGAAACCTTCTTCCATCAATTGACGTTCGTCCATACGCGTAGGCGGAGCAATCCACAAACGAGTTGAAAGTACGCCACCAGGAACTTTCTCTAACAACTTACCAGTTGCGCGGAAGTGACCGATGTTCGTCATACATGAACCAACGAATACTTCGTCAATTTTCACGCCTTGAACGTCAGAAAGCAATTTCGCATCATCTGGGTCATTCGGGCAGCAAAGAACTGGTTCAGTAATTGTCGCAAGGTCAATTTCATACACTTTCGTGTATTCAGCATCAGCATCAGCTTTAAGAAGTGATGGGTTCGCTAACCATTTTTCCATGTTCTCAACACGACGAGCCATCGTACGCGCATCGCCATAACCTTCAGAAATCATCCACTTCAACATTGTGATGTTTGATTTCAGGTATTCAGCAACTTTCTCTTCAGAAAGCGTGATAGAACAACCCGCAGCAGAACGTTCAGCAGATGCATCAGAAAGTTCGAATGCTTGCTCAACAGTGAGGTCAGTTTCCATTTCTGTTAAGTCGATCTCAAGGATACGACCAGAGAAGATGTTTTTCTTACCTTTCTTCTCTACAGTTAAGTCACCTTGCTGAATCGCAACGTAAGGAATTGCATGTACAAGGTCACGTAGTGTGATACCAGGTTGCATTTTACCTTTGAACTTAACAAGTACAGATTCAGGCATATCCAGTGGCATAACACCAGTCGCAGCAGCAAATGCTACAAGACCAGAACCCGCTGGGAATGAAATACCAATTGGGAAACGCGTATGTGAGTCACCACCAGTACCAACTGTATCTGGAAGAAGCATACGGTTTAACCAAGAGTGAATAATACCGTCACCTGGACGTAGAGATACACCACCACGGTTCATGATGAAATCAGGAAGCGAGTGTTGCATTTGAACGTCAACTGGTTTTGGATACGCAGCGGTGTGACAGAAAGATTGCATAACAAGGTCAGCAGAGAAACCTAGGCAAGCCAAGTCTTTCAATTCGTCACGAGTCATTGGACCAGTGGTATCTTGCGAACCAACAGTCGTCATCTTAGGTTCACAGTAAGTACCTGGAAGTACGCCTTGACCTTCAGGAAGACCACATGCGCGACCAACCATTTTCTGTGCTTGAGTGAAACCTTTGCCAGTAGCAGCAGGTTGAACTGGAGTACGGAATAAAGTCGATGGAGCAAGACCTAAAGCTTCACGCGCTTTAGTCGTCAAACCACGACCAACGATTAAGTTGATACGACCACCCGCACGTACTTCGTCTAGAAGTACTGGAGTTTTAAGTTCAGCTTCAGCAATGACTGCGCCGTCTTTAGTTGCAGTTACTTTTGCAGCAGCATGATCAATGTTAAGAACGATTTCGTCGCCCATGTTCATGTTTGCAACATCAATTTCGATTGGCAACGCGCCAGCATCTTCCATTGTGTTGAAGAAAATCGGAGCGATTTTAGAACCTAAGCAGTAACCACCGTCTTTTTTGTTCGGGATGTGAGCAATTTCGTCACCGAAGAACCAAAGTACAGAGTTAGTTGCTGATTTACGAGATGAACCAGTACCAACAACGTCACCTACGTAAGCAACTTGGTTGCCTTTCGCGATTAAGTCTTTGATTTGGTTGAGTGGACCAACTTCACCAGGAACTTCTGGGTTGATACCGTCACGTACGTTTTTCAACATTGCATTTGCGTGCAATGGAATGTCTGGGCGGCTCCATGCGTCTTGTGCAGGTGACAAGTCGTCAGTGTTGGTTTCGCCAGTTACTTTGAAAACAGTCAGTTTGATTTCAGTCGGAACGTCTTTACGAGTCGTGAACCATTCAGCATCAGCCCAAGATTGCATAACCGCTTGTGCATTCGCGTTACCCGCTTTTGCTTTGTCTGCAACGTCATGGAACGCATCAAATACAAGAAGCGTTTTCTTAAGTGCTTCAGCTGCTAATTCAGCAAGTGCAGCATCGTCAAGAAGAGCAACTAAAGGAGCAACGTTATAACCACCAAGCATAGTGCCTAGTAAGTAAACCGCACGTTCTTTAGAAACTAATGGTGAAGTCGCCTCGCCTTTAGCCAAAGCAGCTAAGAATGCAGCTTTAACATATGCAGCTTGGTCAACACCCGCTGGAACACGGTTTTCTAGTAAATCAACTAAAAATGCTTCTTCGCCAGCTGGTGGGTTTTTTAATAATTCAACTAATGCAGCTGTTTGAGCATCGTCAAGTGGCTTCGGTGGGACTCCGAGTGCGGCACGTTCTGCAACGTGTTGGCGGTAAGCTTCTAGCACGGTGTTATTCCTCTTTTTTAAAAAATTATTTACGTATTCCTGCTTTAAATAAAGCTACGTAAATAATATGGACTGCTTAATTTTACTAAAATTCCAGTTAAAAGTTAATGCGCTACAAGTGTTTCTTCGTGATGCCCATTATTTTCTAACTAAATGATGCTCATATCGATTGAACATAAAAACAGCAATATAGTCAGATCGTTTGGAATTGTTTCACATTAACTTTGAACTGCCATTTAAAAACAAAAAAGGCAACCTATGTTGCCTCTTTTTACGCAATATAAATATTCAACCTTAGTGTACTGTTGTCGCTTGAATATATTGTTTGAAACTTTCACGACAGCCTTCAAATTTCATCTGAATTTCGTCCTCATGTAAATTTTGATGTGCAGAGCTTGCAAAAGAAATTTGTACTGAAATTCGTGTAGGTTCATGGTCAAGTGCGTGTTTGAAGTATACATGGTCACCCAAGCTAAGGACATAATGACCACCGCCAATTACGGCCACACCATTTTCATCTTCCAAGAGTAAATCTGCGTGATTTAAATAGCCAACAACTTCCATTTTCTGCTCCTCTCGTTTTTTATTCTATGTTCATTATTCTTTATTTTTATATGCTTTGCTATATATATGATTTAGAGTTTTGTCACAAAAAGTTCCATCCAAAAAATAAAAAAACCGTTCCTTAGAACGGTTTGTAATCTGGCATTTCGGTATGCGGTGTTGCGATACATTTTTCAGTATATTTCACACGAATTTTTTCACGCGCACCTTCAATATCGGACTTAATTTCAGCCTCAGGTAAAGCATAAACATCTTCAATAATTTCTAACGCAAATGCCTTGGTCATTTCGTCTTCAACTTTATTGGCATGCTCAATCGCTTTATCTTTTTCAATGGCATTTTGACGGTCTAACATAATTGAACGTGCTGCATTACCAATACTTTTACAATAGCCATGCCATTGCTCTTCTGGTGTTAACGGTTTTTTTTCAGCACAACCCACCAGTGCAATCACAGCAGCCAAAGCGAATAATTTTTTCATTACAACTCTCCTATGTGCCCTATCATAATCAAACTTTTAAAAATGAAGAACCATTCCCCTGCTTTAAATGTCAAAAAGCCCAGATTTGGGCTTTTTGACTGAGCAAATTAACCGCAGTTCGCTTGAACTACTTTATTGGTCTTTGGATCAACCGTTACTGTCACTCGGTCTTCACGATAATCCATCGTGACTGGCTGCCCAGGTTGGACTAAACGCACTATCTTCGCACTGGTTTTTTGCTTAATCTGCGCTTCCGTTAAATTCGACTGACCAATCAAGGCTGTCGCTTGCTCTGCGACACATTTGCTTTGACTAGCACGGAAAAGCGCCCATTCTTCAATGATTTGACCATTCGGTAAATGGCAATAGCCTACTTCACCATTGGCCTCTTTTCGAATCTCTAATTTACCACCCTGTTCAACACAGTATGTACTGGCAGGATTAGCCATACCTAAAGCTGGCTTTTCAGTTTCATTCTTTTGCGCAGTACTACAACCCGAAATAGCAGCAACCATTAATCCAAGCATTACGATTTTTTTCATAAAAAATATTTCTTTAAATAAAAGATCAACATAGCAAATATATTTTTAAAAAACTGTGCGAGTTTTGCAAAATTTAAGATTGCATAAAAAAGCCCATCATTTGACGGACTTTTGTATGCTGAAAGGCTATATTTTCAGGTCATTTTTAATTGACTGAGTGAATATCAAGCTCTTCATTTTTCGCTAAAACTACAGATGCTAGAATTGGAGTACCTAAAATAAACGGCATAGCAAAGATCCAAAAGACCACGGTATAGTGCGGATCAAAGAAAAACTGAATAGCAAGCGCCACTAAAATTAAAACTGAAAATAAAATCGCTGCAAAGCGTATTACAAAATTGATCGGCATAGGGATCATCACTCTAAATTTAGCAAGTCCATTTACTATACACCTACTTTCATTATGGTTTAATTGATTTTAAGTATCTAGTGTCTGTTATTCATAGGTTTTCTTCATCTATCAAATAAAGAGTTTTATCAAATGGCGAATTAAGTTTTTTAACACCTAAAAATAAAGCCTACATGATGTAGGCTTTATTTAGCAGAAGAGCAGCTTTAGAANCCACTTAAGCCAAAAGTACGTCCAATTTGGTTAGTAAAGGCACGTGTACCCCCTAAACCTAAGCTGATCCCAGCAGCAGCAATGGTGTTGTTGACATCTGACTTAAAGCCTTCAGTTTGACTTAAACCGCTTGTACCTTCATTAATGCGGCCAGTAATTAACGCATTCAAAGCCTCTTGCTCAGACAGCCCTGCATCGTTATAGACTTGAATATTTGGTGATGTTGCCGTACCTGTCACACGGAAACCCACCGTGCTGCCTTGTACATTTTTATTTGCATCGACATCCAGTGTTGGGTTGCTCAACACACCGTTAAAACGTGCAATGGCACGATTTAAATCCAAACTCTGTCCATAAGCTTCAATTTTAACTTTCTGACTTACCCCAATTGCACCATTGGCACGCATTGCGGTTTCAGCACCGCGCTGCGATAGATATAAACGTCCTAACAATGGAATACGACTATTAAACCCTTGGAAGACAACTTGATTACCTAGTCCGACCATCAGATCAGCACGAATATCCCAAGGTTTTGCGCTATTTAAAATCGCCAATTGGTTTTGACCTTCTCTGACCACACGTACATCAGACGATACATTCACCACAGGTACAGACGCTTCAGGCATCGAAATAAGCGCACGAGGAACTTGAATTTCACCATTTAAGGTTAATTTCTTACTCAACGGTAAAACATCCAGTGTGATTTTTGGTGTCACTAGCGCGGTAATTAATGGCGCTTGGCGAATCAGTAAATTTTCTCCATTCAACTGAAGCTGAATGCGTGGATCATTTTTCCAATCTACCGTCCCTGTAAGTGTGCCCACCCCACGACCACTGTTAAAAGCACCATTGATGGTAGCTTGGTCTTGGCGTATAGCGGAATACAGCTGAATATTGGTCAAGTTGACTGGCAGTGAAATCATACTAATTGAACCATCTTTCAGACGGACATCGCCTGTAAGTAGTGGTGCTTTTAGCGTTCCATTAATCTTACCTGCATACGAAAGTGTTCCGCCCATCGAACGTACATCAGCAATGAAAGGTTTAAAGACTTTGAGTTGTACCTGATCAAATGCAATTTCACCGCGCATAGGCATATTGTCCCGATACGGATCAATAACCACATTGGCATAGCCCACACCAATTTCAGGTGTTTTGACATCCAAACGGATTTGTAAACCTTCTGCGATGCTTTTGGCAACCAAAGCCACTTGTTCATATTTTAAGGTTGAACCCATATCTTGTGGGTCATCCGCCGCCAAGCCAATCACACCATCACGGGTGACTAAACGCGCATCAATTTTTGGTTTAGACCCTTGTGCCCAAACCGCTTTAGCATGACCATTTAACTTACCTGTAATTGCTAACCCTTCAGGCATAAAGGCAGCAAAGTCGTTTAGGTCGAGGTTTTGAGTCAAGAATGAAATATTGCCACGTGTTTTACTGACACGAATCGGCTGGTCAAAACACAACTGACTTTGTTGACTCATCCAACAATGC